AGCCAAATTTACTCCCCAAGGACTCCCTGCAATTTCTTCTTGCAAGCTGCGGCAACACGCAGCTTTTGGCATGCATGACCTTTTTTTTTTTTTTTAAACTAATCAAAACAATATCGATAAAAATAAATAGCAAAAATAATTTAATTAACCTTGGATAAAACAAATAAACTAGAAACAACAAAGTGTAAAATCCAATTTTTTCTCTTCTTCTTTTTTTTTTTCCATTTTCATCATTTTTTCCTTTTTTTTCTCTTTTTTTTTTCTTTTTTCATGATTTTTCTTTTCCTTTCCTCTTTTTCTTTCTTTTGCATGATTTTCTACGCTAAAACTTAAAAATAAAATAAAAACTAGAAACTAAAAAAACTAAAAAACGACCACGACAAATAAGAATAAAAAGTAAAAGAAATTATACCAAAAATTTGGTGTCTACAGCCGTCACTCTATCCCCCTCTGCTTTTTTTTTTTTCTCGCTCTCTTGCTTTCCAGTTTCCTCTTGGCCGTCCCCTCTCTCCCTCAAGAAACTCTCTCCGCTTTCTCTGGTTTCAACCGTCCCCTCTCTAAACTTCCTATCCCCGTACCCTCCAAATCTCTCCCTGCGGCTGCTGTTTGTCTTACCTTTTATATGGAACCCAAGGTTCCTAAACCCTCACCCCAATGGTGAGGATGCAAAACCTCCCTTGCCTTCACATCCAGCCCTCCGTGGCTGTCCTTGCAAGCTGCGGCCAATACGCAGCTTCATGCCGCGTCTCTTTTTTTTTTCAACTAATTAATTAAACAAAATTGATAATAATAACAATAATAATAATAACAAAAACAACTTAATTAACATTGGATAAAAATAAATAAACTAGAAACAACAAAATGCAACTTTCCATTTTTCCTTTTTTTTTCATTTTTCTCGTTTTTCACTTTTTTTTATTTTTCTTTAAGAAAACATTGTATTAAAACAACTCAACATATTTCTTGAATATTTTTCCTTCTTTTTTTTCTTTTTTTCTAGAAATTCTATGCTAAGAATAAAAACTAAACTAAAAAAAACTAAAAACTAAAAAGTGAATAAAACTAAAATAAAAAACTAAAAATAAAAAGTAAATGAAATTACACCAAAAATTTGGTGTCTACAGCACCTTAATCTTAACATGCATGTTGGATTTGAGTGTAAAATGAAGAGTTTTATTGGAGAAAAATTTGCTTTGCTGGAATTTTTATAGCTTTTTGGCCGAGAGAAAAGAGGGGTTGGTTTCCCAAACTTGTATCCAATTTTTTGGAATTTGGCTTGAAGAATTCTTGTTATGTGCTCATTCTTTGTTGTATAGATGTCGTATCATGTGTTTCGCTTTTGGTTCTAGTGAAAGTTGGTTGTTTTAAGAGAGAAAACTTAAGGAACATTGCTAGCAATTTTGAAGAGGGTTGAAGAGAGGGAGAGCTGAGAATTTTCAGCTTTAACTCCATAACTTTAGTTTTTGATAAGTATATCTTTGCTTCATATACCTCTTAATATCTAAAACTTGGCATGCATGTGGTAATTTACTTGATTTAAGCAAGGAATTTGGGTGAGTTTGCAAGAAAATGAGGAACAAAATTCCTGAAGTTTTATTTAATGAATTTGGCCGAACTTGAGTTGGTTATTTGTGCAGCTTGTAGCCGTAAAATTTAATGGTTTTGATGAATTGTTACTTCCCACCTATTTTACTAGATGTACATTGGTTGCATGATTGAACTCCTTTGAAAATTAAAAGTGGGATTATTGTATGAGAATTTGGGAAAGGTGAGCTGATTGCTTCACTTAAACGTGGCTATAGTTTTTGAAATTGTGATTGGAGGCTAGGAAATAGCATGTATGTAGATCTTTTCTTAAGAGTTTTACTAAGTGAATAGGTAAATAATATGGTAATTTGCTTCACTTAAACGTGGCTATAGTTTTTGGAATTGTGATTGGAGGCTAGGAAATAGCATGTATGTAGATCTTTTCTTAAGAGTTTTACCAAGTGAATAGTTAAATAATATGGTGATTATAAATTGTCTCAAGAGACAATAAGGTGCAAGAAGGGAACCCTGAGGCCAAGGTGTAAATTGTTCTCTTAGAGTGAGTGTTTTATATTTGTTTGTAATGATTGAATACATGATGAACATAAATATTATGTGTTTAGTTGATCAATACTTGTTGGATTATTGATGTTTGAATTGTTTAGAGTGAAATTTGTCAATTGCTACTCTTTTACTGAAAGGCGAGTACAGACTTTATCGCACTCGACCTAGGTGAATTTTGGAAATGATAAATGCCTAATTGTGCATGAATGTAAGCCGAATGTGTATTTTATCACATCAATTGAATTGGGCCCCAAATCCCATTGTTGGACAATCTATTCGAGCCGATAACGGCCTTGGTAGAGTAGGCTGGAAGACCTTGGGCACTGAAATGTTTGGTATAATCGAGTATTACCCCTTTAATGAGGCGCCTATTGGAGTGACAAAGTGACTAATGATTGAAGGGGATTATTTACTGTTTAGGAGGATACAAAGAGGAGATGGTGGAGTGTGAAGTGAATTGTAGGAAGTTGTGCAATGAATTATTGAACGGAGCTAAGTGCTACGTCTGGAAACGGATGGGAGCCACCTCTAGGGTCTGTATCATACCGTATCCTTTGATATTGATTGTGCCATTTGTTAAGAATTGTTTCACAAATTATCCTGATATTAATTGGTTTGTTATTCCTATTATATTACTGAAAGTGTGAAATGTTGTATTTAAAATTACTTATTTTTTTAGAACCTCATTGGGCATAAGTTCACCAATTAGTTTGTGTTCCTTAACCAGGGTTGAAACGTGGAATCGAGGAATAGTAAGCTCAAGAGTGGAAGTCTTTGCTTTAAGTAAATTGCCATCCTATTTGTATTTAGTGAATTGATTGAACAACTTGTATTTTGATCCGTTTAGAAAAGGATAGGTGTAGAGAGTAGCCAAAATTAAGCCCGAGACTTGAATTGTACTTGGATGAATTTTTTGTACTTAATGATATAACTTTACCGACTTTATTATTTTTAAGAATTGTACATATTAAATGTTGTAGGCTAAGACAACTTTACTTTTGTGGGAATGTATGATGGACTATTAATGACTTTAGTTAATGAAATGTTATCTCTTAAGTTAAAGTGAGTGAGTCAGTCCTGACGAGAGTTAGGCAAGCGGTCCGCTAACCCTAGGATACGCCCTAAAAGAAGGTGGGGTCGTCACATTTTCTTGTTTATTTCATTTCAAATTTTATATATTTTTTGATGTTGTTTGGGATATTTCTTCTTCTTTTTATGAGTTTACTAGCTTTATTCTATTGAATTATTTTTTATAATAATTTATGCATAATCAAATAGCATATATTATTATGAAGAAGTCATTATGATTGCATGTTCTACCTTCAAAATTGCAATGACTTTAATTTTATGGAATTGAAATATATAGATATTGTTATTTATATGCTTAGTCGTTATTGAAAAATGTGGAATGCTAAATTATATTTAAATTACAAATTAATATTCTTAAGTGTGTATAAAAAGTTTCAAAATATTCTTTTATACAATGTAAACATTTTATCCCTCTTTTTTTTCCATGAATATATGATTCTTAAAACTATAAGAAGCATTAAATAAACTTAATAAATGAGGGGATTATTGTCTAATGAATGGATGAGGTGTGAATTCTAGGAGTGGCAATTCCTGACATGACTCGAAAACACGACACGGACCTAACACGAAATTAATGAGTTTGGGTTGAGGTTTTGGGGATTCGGGTCAAAATCGAGTAGAACCCGATAAACCCGAAAAGAAAACAAGTCGATTTCGGGTCAACCCGTGATGACCTGATATGACCCGTTTACGAATTAAAAATAATTTAATAAATATAAAAATTATTTTATCTAACTAAACTAAATAGTCTAAATCATTTTTTTTCAAAGGTATTAATTACTTAATCCTAAATGAATTTATTTAACTTGTGTGAAGTTGAAATTATTATATTTGGATAAATAATATATTATGTTATTTTTTACTTTTATGCTGTTTTAATTTATTTTATATTTGATTTGGGATAAAACACTTTTACGTTGTTTAATTTATTTTAGATTTGGTTTGAAATTATTTATTTAAATTTTTATTACTTGATGATGTAATTAATTTTGTGAGAAATTGATTTTATTAGAAATTACAATGATAAATTAATAAATTAAAATTAAGTTTCGGGTCATTTCGGATTGACCCGCCAACCCGAAATTTTCAAGTTCGTGTCAGGTATCCTGACCCGTTTCGGGTTGCAGGTCAGGTTCGGGTCAGCGAGTTTTTTGTTATACTTGGGGTTCAACCCGACCCGTCAACCCGAACTTGACCCGATTGCCACCCCTAGTGAATTCAATATGGAAGAGTGTGAATTTAGTTCTCCCTCCAAATTTTTTTTTATTTTATATACATCACATCATAAAAAATTTGCTACAGTAATTATTTAAAATAATAGTTCAAATAATCTCCTATCCAACATGCTAAAGTCTTCAATCTATGAGTACTCGTTAGCACACATAAATTATACTTATTATGTGACTACATACAAATACAATTATTGCGCCCACTGTAATTAGATATTTTTTGAAATCAACTACACTTTACAAATCGATTGTAATTATCCCAAACAGTTAAATAAAAATTTTAGATGACCGCAGGAAGTGAATCCTTACTCCTAGAGGTTAAAGTCTCTCCGAAGAACTCATGTATATTTGCTAGGTCTTACCCTACTTTTCAACATAAGTAGATAACGTGCGAAGAGCTGTGATGACCTGGAGGTTTTCGTCGTCCTCTCACGTGCCGTGCAAGTGGGTTGAGGGCATTATATTGTTCGCGCATCGCGCGACGGCTTCCGCTCTATTCTCAACTTCTCCTCTCGCAGTATCCCATGTGCCTTCTGCTGCGTTGTCTGCCGCATTGATATACTTGTTTCTGTATCTGGTAGAATCCCGGGCCCTTTCTTCCAGCTACCTTCTCTCTCTCCTCCTTTTGGACAATGTTGCACTCTTGCTTATCCGGATGTTCTGAGCTCTGGTACAAGAGCCTGTTGAGATATTTGGTTCTCTTCTTACTACACAATGAGCATCGAGCCTCTCTCTCTCGGGTTCTCTGGGTTGAAGTGGTCCAAATCATCTGCCATCCGTTCAGTTCTCCTCCTCCTCATCCTTTGTAAGTTTTCTTCTTCTTCCTTTCCGGAGAGGTGCAGTCTTCGCTCTGAGTTTTCTCCGTAGGTTTTAGCCTGAAGCTGATATCTTTGTTCTTTGTTCTTTGTTTCCCTTTCCGAACCACGAAAGGAGCATCGAGCCTTTGTCTCTCGCGTTCTCTGGGTTGCGGTGGTCCGGATCATCTGCCATACCTTTGGCTCTCCTCCTCCTCCTCTTCCGTTGTAAGATTTCTTCTTCTTCCTTTCCGGTGAGGTGCAATCTTCGCTGTGAGTTTTCTCTGTAAGCTTTAGCCTGGAACTGATATTTTCTGTTCTTTTTTGTTCTTTGTTTACCTTTTAGCATATCTTCTGTTTTGCTCTCAGGAGAGGTACGATCTTGTCATCCGTTTGGTTCTTCTCCTCCTCTTTCGTTGTAAGTCTTCTCCTTCCTTTCAGCTTAGGAGCAGTCTTTGTTGTGAGTTTTCTCGGTAAGTTATATCCTAGGATTGGTATTTCTTCCCTTCTACTTGCGCTATGTTTGGTTTGGTGGTTCCGGTTTCTGGTCTACAGGTGTTTGCTATTGGCCTGTGTTCCTGAAGGCCCCTGTGGTGTGTGCCTCAGACGCAAGAAAAAAACATATCCCTCTTTCTATTCTGTCTGGAACCATACGTGGTTGTGCGTTTTTTGACACGTGATGTTCTGGTCTTTGGGGTGTTGCGTTTTTTTGTCTTGTGTTTTCCCAAAAAACTGTCGTCTATGCGTAAAAAAATAGACTCTGTTGTAACAAATGCCTCTCCGCCGCTTCTCCTCTCCGCCCCTTTCCTCACCCAAATGATACGACCAGTGGAGGCTGTAGCGATGAGCCTCCTCGCTCTTAGCTTCTTTTTTTTTTTTTTGGTCAATTTGCAACTTCCTTATTTTTTTGTCAATTTGCAGCTTCCTTATTTGTGTCAGTTTGCAGCTTTGTTAGGCGATGGCGATTGGAGAAGTTGGTATTGAAATTCTTCAGTGTGTGTTGTGGGCATCATTTCTAACTCAAAGTTTGAGATTTTTGGTAGACCTTTGCATAGATTCTGGGTTAGAAAGTCTTTTATTTTATCCTATTTACTTTTCTGATCAAATTAATTTTTTTATGTTGTTGTTGTGCCGTATTTTTCTTACCCTTTTCAGATCGAGTGATTTTTTTGGTGATGTTGTTCTTCATCTTTAAAAAAAAATCTACACGAAACTGTTTATCAACATAATCCAGGTAACTTTTCTACAAAATCTACCTTTAGTTTTCAGTTAATGCTCCCTTTGGTTCCATTCTATAGTTCTTATTTCCTTTTTGTCCCAGCACAATTTTCTTTTTCTTTTTCTCTTTTTTTTTGTCCGATTAGTTTGTTGTTGATTTTTAAACTTGCTTAGATGAAATATATGTCAAATGGTAAATCTTCATTTTTTTTAAACTTCTTGTGGCAGGTCAATTTTGATGTTGTTTCTTTCTATCAATAAAGAAAGATAGACATCTTGGATTCTCTGTTCAGCCAATTCGGGCATTTCATCTGACCCGTTTCATTATTCAGCTACAGTAAACTACCTGAGGTTGGCCTAATCGATATTTTTTAGCATTTCTTTTTTTTTTCTAATTACCACGTTGCCAAATGGGTCACTGACATCATTGAAGATGGAAATTTCTAGCTTGGGTTGGGCTATCTACTGAATATTTGGGTGGGAGGTTGTAATTACATTTTGTCATTGCCTTGTATGCCTCTGATAAAATTTGGGAGGATTCATCTTTGCATGTCTGTTTTGGTTTCATACTGTTAGATGCGATTTTCTCCTTCCTTTTTTTACCTTTAAATGGCCAACTTGAACATTGTTTTTGGTGAAGAATATTACAGATTTTTGTGAACCTATTTTCTGTATTCTTGCATTCTGTTTGTGGTCAGGCAAAATTTATTGCAAAATAAAGAAAACCCCACTTACCCATGTGCCAAATTTGTAAAAGAAAGTAGAAAATTGAGAAGGAAAAGGGGGGGAAAAAGTATCAGTACCAATATCAATGTCAAGGGTTATCTTCTCCTTCTTAAGAAATCTCTCTGCAGAATCCTTTAATACTCTAAAAAGGTATAACACATCACATATCTATGTTGTTTTTTTTGGCATATTTTGATAGATTTTTTTTGTGGGTATAGTTTGTTTTCATGTTTAAGCATGTGAGCTTTGTTTAGTAATTTATTTCAGGTGATTATTTTTGTTTGTTTGATTACTCTGCAATTCAACTCTTTAGTTTTCTTCTAGGTTGAGTTTAATTTTCAAGTTTTTCTGAGATTTCCTTAATGCATTATGGCCAAGGAGGAGTTTGCAAAGTCTCGTTGGAAATGGGCTCATATAGATTTTTAGTCAACTGTTCTTAGCTTGAGCGGTTGAAAATGCGAAATGGTAAATCTAAAATAATGGAGGCTTAGAACGTACAAAATAGCATGTATCTTATGAGGTTTGTTTGTTTGATTTAGAAGAGTAAGAGATTCCAAGGCAGTATTCTGCATTACTTGGGCAATGTGATTATTCTGCATGACTTCGTTGTTTTGCCAATCCTTGAACGTTTGCCATATTTGCTGATCGAATCAACATAAGAGATGTACAATTGGTTATGTAAAAATATTCATTACCCTTATTCTCTCTGTGTAGATTATAGATATCAAAGTTTTATTATCTGTGCGGTAAGATTGAGAGATATGAAAGCATATTTCATTTCAATCATAATGAATGCGTTTTAAGGAGGATATCCAGTACTTATCATGTTAGGCATTTTGGCAGTGATTTTTTTTTATTATTATCTCTCTGGTGATGTATCACAGCAGAGGTGGATTATCATCAAGATATGTAGAAATAAACTGATGATGAATTTAGTGTTAGTGGACTTGAATAAGAAACGGAGTATTCTATTACTGGTCAGGTTGTCAGCTATAAAAACTATCGTGCTGAAGGATGTCAGATGGATGGTTAGAAACTGCCATTTCCTGTTTAAGTTGCTGATGAAGATTCTTTGTGGAGGCAAAGACCAACTTAGTTGGTTTTTTCTGAGATATCATTAGAAATTTCATTTTGCCAGTAATTTTACTAAATTTTTGCATGACCTGGATGAGCGAGTTTCTTATTGTTCAATCAGAACATTTCAAAGCACGTTGAACTACTCTAGGAGACTTCTGCAGGATATTGAAAAGAAAATGCAACTCTCTGGGTAGAGATGTCCCTCTGATTCGCCATTATTCCTGTTCTCGTGATTTAGTACACACAAACTTTCATCAATATATAAAGCTTGAATGTTTTAAGACTTGGACTTGAGGCTTTTGGATTTAATGAGGAACCTATGCATTTTTTTTTTTTTTGTGTATGTACATGACTAATTTTTCACTATACAATCTTGCTGCTGACATTGATGGCATGTCAATTTGTTGATGCATGTTCATGCACATATTCAAATTGAGTTCAATTGAGTTTTGTTTATATGGTTGGGGCTCAGTATGTGCAAGAAAAGTGAAATAGTCTAATCTTGAGGATATTTGTTAGAGTTATTCAAATGAGACAAAATGTTGTGGCAGAATGAAGTTGTAAAACATAAATCCTCTTCTAAGCTTGCAAGTCTTCTTTTCCTTCCTGGGATCTCTCTCTCTCACGCACACACACACAGAGACACAGCCCTGAACCTCCTTCTTGACACATTAAAGCTAATGATATTGTTTCTTTTTATACTACTGTAGGTTTATTCCCTGTAAGAGTTTCCACTCTGGCAGATGTTTGCAATCAGCAAAGAGCACAAACTCTCGTCCTTTATTGCCTCCAAAAAACACCTCTAATTCCTGGAGACCTTATATAGTTGTATGCTAATTAACTTGCTCTTTTCTTTGAAAACCTTTTATGACTGAACTTTCTTGCTTTCTTTTAATTCTCCTGTTCACACATCTTTTTATTAGTTTGTTTTTTCCCTGCCATTTTTATTCACTTAGTTTGTCTTTTGCAGCATGGTACTGTTTTGGGTGGAGTTGGTGGTCTCGCATTTTTTCTTCACTACAATGACGAGAAGAGGGCTATCCTTAAAGATTTTATTACTTTGACGTGGTAATCACTTAGAAGTCTGAAACTGAAGTTCTTCTCCTGCATTTTATGAAATACTTGCCAAAAGATTTGTATAGCTCCCTCGGTGTTAGTATTGCAATTGTAATTGTTGACCAAAAAAGGTATACATTTGTTTGTGTGTGAAAGAGAGAGACAGATAGAGTGTGTGTCTGAAAAAGAGAGAGAGGGACAGATTGTGTATGTTCTCTCTCTCTGTCTCTCACTATTGGTTGTTTACCCATCTTTTGCACGGTGTACAACATATTCACACACACTCTCTCTCATAGTTTATCTCTTCTATTTGCATAGTTGCATAATCACAATATTTGAACTCGATTTGACTCATTGCTAATCCTAAGCTTAGATTTTATTATTGGGATAAAATATTTTTCAACTCGTAATGGGATCCGTCAAATGTCCCAATTGGTATATATCGTGTAAATGTAATAGCCTGAATTTATGAGCTTTTTTTTTTTTAGAACTTAAATTAAACCTATCCTGTGTTATATTTTTTTACTCCAATTTCTTTATGTTTCAAAGAATAGTAATGTCCTTGGAAATTTAGATATTTTACAGCTATCTATGCTAAACTGGGCATGCACATTTTTATATCCACCGCGCATCGCGCGGTTTATACCTCCTAGTCTATAATATAAAAGCTTACCACCTCCACACAAAAAAAAAAAAAAAAAAAAAAAGTAGTTTGAACTTGAACTAGATGTTTTAGTTATTTCATAAAAACCCAACAATAATTATCAGATTACCGAAAACCGGCGCGGTTTGTTTAGATTGCTTCATATTTTCCCAATTTTATTTGCTTACATCATCTTTACAATTTCCAATACACCTTTTTATCTTCCCAATATCTTTTTATCTCACATACATCACATCACAAAAAGTGCTACAGTAAAAATATCTCAAATAATCCTAAATAACTTACAATCCAAACAGACGTATCTAACTAGACAAAGAACCAGGTGCCTCATCAATTGCCTTTTTTTAAAAAGAAAAATCTTTGAACCAGCTTTTTTTTTTTCCGATAAAAAGAGTTAACTTCTCGAGAATATTGCCCCATGCTATCGAGGCTTTTTAGGCTTTGAAACTAAAAGCGAAACTTTTCCTTTTCTGTTTTCATAGACTTGAATTCAATAGTCGGATCCATCCATGTCAAGATAAGCCAGTTCAGGCCTCAAATCACGTCATGCAATAAAGGGTTATTATCACTTTTACCTCTTAAAGTTTGGCGTCACTATCAATTTTTCTTGTAATATTATTTTTTAGTCATTTTACACCTATGACTAATGGCCAAACTTGACGTAATTTATTAATTCAAGTGATAAGACATGTTTAACCTTTAAAATTATTATCATTTTACCCTCATAAACTATAATTTTATTATTAATTTACCCCCTAGACTTATTATTTAGGCAATTTACTCTACCATTAAACCAACTTAACAAGTTAAAAAACTTTAGAAAATAATACCCTCTTTTTTGTATAATAAAAACAATAAAAGAATTTAGAATAACTCTTCTCCTTTTTAGTATCAAGAAAAAAAATCAAAACATTAATCACTTTCTTTTTGGCAATCTTATTAATATTGCAAAAAATAGGGGAGGGAGAGAGATAGCTCAATTTTTTTTAATACAAAAAAGAAAGAATTAAATATTTTTATTATTTTAAAATTACTTTGCTTTTTAGTTTATTACTCAATTCCAATCCTGAGGACATTAAAGTAATACTATAATATTAGGTTTTTCCTTATTTTCTTTCTTAACAAAATCTAATTTTCTGCTTTCTTCTATCCTATCTCCTTTTATTTTTCAAGTATTAATAAGTGTGAAAAAAGAATTTTGAGAAAACTCTTTATTTTTATGTTTTTGGAGAGTGAAAAAAAAGGAAGAATAATTATTCCAACTTCTTTATTTTAATTATATATAAAAAGGGTAAATACATTTAAACATTTTTTAACATACTTTTTAGATTAACTATAGGACAAAATATTTAAAGAGTAAAACAATTATATCACTATAATTTAAAGGGATAAAATGATAATAGCAATGTAATAATATTATAAAATAAAATGGTACTTTTGTCAAAAAAAATTTAACATATTGAATTGAATTACCTATCGATAAATAGGGATGGCAATGGGGTTGGGGCGGGGGGTGGGGCAGGGGCGGGGGGGAAAAATTCCCCCCCCCTTAGAAACGGGGCGAGGGGTGGGGGAGTATACCCCCGCCCCATCCCCCGCCCCGCCACCCGCAAAACAAAAAAAAATGTATATATATAAATATATATATAAATGACTATATATTATATGTAAGTTAATTAGTTATAAACTTATAATAATGATATTATTAGTTAGATGTATTATATAATGTATATTAGTTTATGTAATATAATTAATATTATGAATTATATGAATAATTATACATGTCTACTAATAGAATTTATTAATTAGTTATACTAAATTTACTAATACATTTATACTAAATTTCTAATTACACTTAATAGAATAACACTTTTTGCTCAAAAAAAAGCACAAACACAATGATGAATTAGTGATTGCATTTGTACTAAAAGTGAAAATTTGACTATTTTAGTTATATTTATTTCATCATATTGGATTGTATTCAAATAACTTCTGTTTGATTGTTTTTATGAGTTTCAATTGTAAAATTATAATGAATAATAATTTGATGATGTGTTGATATTTTAGTACTTGATTATTTATTAAAATTTAATTATAATAAAATTATATAATAAAATTTTATTAACCCGCGGGAGAAGGCGGGGCGGGGGGAGCAGGAGGCGGGGGACGGGGCGGGGGACGGGGGGAACTAATAGGCAACGGGACGGGGGACGGGGGAGGGGTCCCCCGCCCCAACCCCGCCCCGTTGCCATCCCTATCGATAAAATGACGAAAAGATAATATGATGGAGTAAATTAATAGTAATGATATATTTTAAAGGGATAAAGTAATAATAACCCTGTAATAAATAATTAGTTGTTTGCATAGTAGATTGTTTATCAACTTTTATTTATTTTCATCGTCAATTTATTTTTCAATCACTTTTTATTTCTTTTTATTTCATATAAAAAATATGTTATCATTTAAAAAAAAAAAAAAGAATTGTCGCAAAAAATCTGCCATCCGAAGACAATTCCCGGAACTTAACAAATGCAATAGGAAAAGTTAGGAGAGACGAGATGACAGATCAGACAGCATCGAGCAGTAGCAGCACCATCCAAAAGGAATCCGAAGCCCATAATAATTTGCATATAACAGGGGCAAGCAAGACAACAAAATCAAGCTGGCTGGATTAGCTTATACAATATATTCCCCTGCATAGTACTCTTTAACATTTCATGCCACTAGTAGTTAAAATTCACATGCACTATGCATACAAGATACAACTGCTTCTGGACATAACTTTTTTTTTTTTTTTTTTTTGCCACGCATTATCTCCCCACTACAATTTGATCAAGCCCACCAAAATACAAGTCCATAAAACAGGAGAGTGATCAAGGAAGAGGATGTTGGGCAAATCTTGGCTAGTAAAACCCTGCCTGCAGCTTCACTCATGTCTTGGTTGGTGCCAGATGGACCTAAGCCATTGTTGAATCCTCCAGCTCCGAGTCCTGATGATGTTGATGGAGTTGTGACTAGAGGAGAAGTGCCTGTGGGACTATTGATAGTGGGGGTGGGGGTGGCGGTGGTCGGGGTTGCAGTGGTCGGCGTGGCAGGGGTGGTGGTTGTCCCAGGAGGAGCAATTGTGCCACTGGGCCGAGTAGATTGGAGCGATTCAATGTGTCATGAAGGGACAATTAGTAGCTCAACAAATTGGCCAAAAAGAAATGATAACGGTAATAATTTTTACTTTTAAAAAAAAAATTTTTGGGTACGAAATGAACAGCAACAATAATGTTAAACACTTGAGATATTTATAAGCCAAGTCCCAAATTTTGAACAGGGAAAACAAAGAAAAGGGAATGTTTATGGGCTTGTTTGGATAGCCATTTTTCACCAAAAAATGGTCTTGTTTTCCGTGAACACATTTTCCTATCATTTTTTTACCTCACATACATCAAATCGCTACAGTAATTTTCCAACGAAAAATTCATGGAAAATGCAATCCAAACACACTCTATATTTGCTTGTCATTCAAGTCAAAGTTTAGAGTGAGTTTTCTCGGAGAAATTTATATTGAACATATTTGTTTTTTTCTTTCTTTTTTTTACGAAAATTAATATAGGACAAAGAAGGCATGTGACCAAATAGGAATTGTAAAAATGAACAGAAAAAAAAGGAGAAAACCATGATATTATTTTCCACTCTTTGTCCTAAGCTGATATGGTAGAAAGAGCCCAAATTGCACAAGCAAGATAGTCAAATTTACAGTTTTGCAGATGTACTTCCACTAATTAAATCCAATATGTCTCTTCCAATTTATAAACATCGATCTCTGTACTACAAGATTTAGTCAATTTACACTTCCAGCAACAAGTTAATATTCTCGTTGGACTTAACATATATTTGAAAATGAAAAGTGGAAAAATAAAAAAAAGGACTCATGCAGTAATTTCTGGATAAAAAGAAATATATTTAGGACTCCATTTTATATTATTCAAAAATTGTTCTTTTTCAAAAAGATGTGTACTGTGATGTTTCAGCGAGAGTTTCTCAAATGGTCCAAAAAGTTTTGGCCAAATTCAAGGAATATACCAAAAATTACTAGTTAATAGTGCTATGTTACTACTTTATTCATTTGGACGTCTCGATAAAAAGAAGCAATTTGGAAATCGGGCCCGACCAAAACCAAATAACTGTGGGATAAAAGTTAAAACGCTCCCCAAAGAAAAAAGTTGTGGGATAAAAATATCACACTACCCAAGAGGATATCAACCATTTAAAGTAGATCTAATCTAACGGCTTTTAGCAACCTGGCATAAATTCTCGAGCCAGCAAAGATTGATGGTGCCCTTTCAGTACGGTCCAAAATTTATCTGCAACAGAGAATTCTTTGGCTCCCCATACATACCCCACCACCCCAGACTCAAAATTGGAAAAAAAAAAAGGACTAGAAATAGAGAAACATAAAATCACTTTTTCAATCCCCGAAAGACACAAAACTCCCCGGAAAGATTTTTTTTATCTGAATAAATTTATGTGAAATGTTTGAAACTGGGGAATTATTATTTGCAAATTTTATTTAAACAGGAACAGGAAATGAATGTTTGTAGCTTTTTAATTTGTCTATGACAATGACACTTCCGTTGGTTGTTTAACAAAAAAAATTGACACTTCCTTTGGCCGTTTGACATATAAATTAGACAATTATTATAATT